GGAAGACAAAAATAATAGTAGGAACTGAAATCCCTACAACCCCCCCCAATTTTCTCTTTTGATAATAGCACTTTTTAAAAGTTTTGATTTTATAATATAATTATGTCATTCCCCTTTTCCTTTACTCTGTTTATTTTGTTTTTTTCCCAAATTCTTGGACTTCTTTATTAATTGTTAATATATATATTCCTAAGTATGCTTTAAATATTTGCCCCGTCCTCACTTATAAGTTTAGTTCTCACCATGGATCAAGGAAATGGCTCTCTGTAATAGTTGGAGATCATTACAGAAAACACAACCAATCAAAATGCAGAGTTGTGGTGCTGAGTCCCAGCTGATGCATCTACCAAACAACCCCGACAGAAAAGGCTCAGTGATCATTTTGGAAGAGGAGGCAGAAAGATCCTAAGAGCCAGAGGATCAGATCATGGAGGTTTTTGTGAGGCTGTGTCTCCTAGTAATGCGGAAACTGCACCCATAAAGTCTCACAGCAGGGCTTCCTAAACAGGAACTGAACGAGGATAGTAGCACTTTCTAAGTCATCTGGGGGCTGAGGAAGACATGAGTAGATTATTAGTCAAAGTATGCATCCATGGCGATTTCCTGACAATTAAATGAATTATTACACATTGTGTGTGTGTCTATTTCTGTAGTCATGCTTTATTCCATCATTATAGATCAGCTTATCACTTCTAATATTTTATATACGTCAAACCAGGCAGCATGAATTCATTTCTCCTGGGATGGGAGGTTGTTGAGGAACCTGGCATCTTTCAGCATAATTATTCTGTGATTCTTGGACATTGTTTCTTTGGATCAACAATCCATCCCCTCTTTGCTGCCAAATAATATTCCATCATGTGCGCGTACCACAATTTGCTTATCCACTCCTGTGTTGATGGACGTTTTGGTTTCTTTTTAGATGCTTGCTATCATAAACAAAGCTGCTGAGAGCATTCTTGTCTAAGTCTTTGTGGGGACATATGCTTTCATTTCTCTTGCATAAACACATAGAAAGGGATGGCAGAGCGAGGCTGGCAGGTTTATGTTTAACGTTTTAAGAACTGACAAATTATTTTCCAAAGTGGTGTACTACTCTAAACATTTAAGATATTGTAAACACCCACTTTGGGGGAAGGTAAATTGCATGAACGAGAAACTGTGCCCGATTAAACACAGTGAAGGGTGTAAGATAAAGTTGCTAGAGGAGAATTCTGACGAGTCAGCCATGTCTTCAGTCGAGGCCTGGGAATAGACTCCTGTGTCTGCTTTGCTGAATGACAGACTTCAGATATTCAACAACGTGAGGACGCATGCCAAACAGGAATGCATTCACCCACCCAATAGCAGCTGTCCTTGGAGGGCTGCTGATGAACCAGCAGGCCTGCGATAGCGCTGCAGCCTAAGCAGGGTGGCCTCGTGCCAGGGGCAGAGCCATCTCATTCATTTTAATGCTTCTGGCAACGCTTGCCACACATGTCATCTTCTCATGATGAATCTCCCATTTCGAGTTATCCCTTTGGGAAATCAACTTCGGATAAGCTGCTGATGGCGTGTGTGCGAAGTGTGAGAATGTATGTGGGTACATGCATCCATGCACATACTCAACATATGGTTTTTCCTATATAAACTCAGCCTCTTCTCTTTGCTCTGGTAAGACTAAACCATGGCTGATGCCTACATTACTTCTCACTTTGAGAAGCCCATAGAGTTGATTCAGCAGGCTTCCAGGAAGAAGAGATCAGTGTGAACCTGTAGGAGAAGGTGATGTGAACTCTGGCCTGAAGCCCTGGGAGGGGATTCAGAGCGCACGCTGTGGCTGTGGAGGAAGGAATGAGTCATTGTGAGGAATCAGGTGTCACAAAATATTATTTTAAGGCGTGTTACTTTTGTTGATGCTGCATTTGTTTAGTTCCGTGAAGCTGTGACTCTTTGTCTGTCTAAAACACCTGATGGTCCAATAAAGAGCTGAACAGCCAATAGTAAGGCAGGAGCAAGGATAGACAGGAGATAGAAGGAGAACCAAGGAAGAGGGGAGCAAGAGAACAAGGAGAGGAAGACATCAGGGGCCAGCCACACAGCTACACAGCAAGCCATGGAGAGAAAAAAAAGGTATACAACAATAGAGAAAGATAAAGCCCAGAGGCAAAAGTGTGTTGGGATAATTGAAGTTAAGAAAAGCTGGCAAGAAACAAACCAAACTAACACTGGGCATTCATAACTAAAAATAAGCCTCCGTGTGTGGTTTATTTGGGAAGTGGGTGGCAAGGCCCCCCATAACAGTAAGCAGTCAAGCAATACACAACAATCAGGTATATTGGAAGAAAGCTTGTGTAGGAGATGCTGTCTGGAGTACATCATCCTGGAACTGTCCCTGCTTAGTTAAGTCAAAAAGAAACTCTCCCTTGAGTTACTACGGACTTGTGCCATGTGCTAGAGCCGCATTTCTGTCCCTCTGCTTCGCATAGCATGTCAGAGCATCTAGGCTCCATGGAAAATTGAGTCAATTGTCATTTAAAAAGAACTTAGCACAGACTTAAAACTCTTAACTTACTTTTTGACCAGGCCTTCCATGTGTTTTAATATTTTACTGTGTTCTAGGATCCAACTTCTCATGTAACTTTGATTTCCAGGGCTCCCTACTTTTTGTGGCTATTTTGCTTCTTGTTCCCTTGGATTTCTGAAGCTTCAGGTTGAGATGCCTGTCCTTGTTCTTTTTCTTTTTCTTTCTTTTTTTTTAAGTCTAGAGTTTTGCCCTCTTTGAAGAAAACTCCCAATTCTGCTCACCTGAACCTGTGCGGTCCTTTCGGCAGGCTCCATCTGCAGTCTGGGCCTCCTCAGACGATATTGTCAGTATTGTCAGGATAATGTGGTCCCCTGGAGTACAGCTCTGAACTGATTTGTTGAAGTTAGTGTGAGTTTATATGTTAAAAAAAAATCTGAGTTCACTTCCTAGTTGGGTGACGTGGGCCAAGTCACCTTGATCCTCTATGAGGTGAAGAGAAGTGGCCAACAGAGTCAAGTTTGCAAATGTGAGGACCTGAGAGCAGAGTTTGGATCTCTAGCACCCGTGTACAAGGCTAGATGGGCTTCCTGGTTAGATTTTTTCCCTTTTTCTTTTATGTCAACTTGACACAAGCAAGGGCTATCAGGGAAGAGGACCTCACTGAGAAAATGTCTCCGTCAGACTGTGTGTAGGCAGTTCTGCAGGACATTTCTTGATTAATGATTGGTGTGGGAAGGCTAAGCCCAATGTGAAAGGTGCTACCCCCGGGCAATTGGTTTGGTCATAGACTTTATCACAGCAATAGAAAGCGAACAGACGGTGCAAGCTGTGACTATCTATAACCCTCGCCCTGTGGGTGGTATAGACCTTGGTGGATACTGGGGGTTTGTAACAATAGGGGGCCTGCTGCTTGTTGGGGTTTCTGTCCTGCCCAGTACCCCACAGCCGGCAAGCCCCAATGAAAATCACATGGAGAGTCTACATTAGGTTATAAACTGATTGGCCCATTAGCTCAGGCTTCTTATTAGCTCTTGTAGCTTATATTAACCCATTATTCTTATCTATGTTAGCCACATGGCTCCGTACCTTTCATAGCAGGGCAGGTCACATGTTGCTTCTTGGTGGTCTGGGCTGGAATGCAGAGGGAGCTTCCTGCTTCTCAGGATACTCTTGTTCTCATCGCCCTGCCTCTACTTCCTGTCTGGTTGATCCACCTATACTTCCTGCCTGGCCAATAAAACATTATTGACAGAATACAGACAATTCTCTCACACCTGGGGTTCATTGACCAGTCAGTCTCATGAAAACAGTGAACTCCAGCTTCAGTGAGAGACCCTGTCTTTAAAAAACATGTGGACAACGTGGCCTTGAATTCAGTACGTAGATCAGGCTGGCCTATAACTCATGGGCTTCCTGACTCATGATCCTGAATGCTGGGGCTGTCGACATGCACTATCATGTATGGTTTCTGAAAATCAAAACTTAACCCTCGGAGTTTCAGTTTTCCTCCTCTATGTGATTCTGAGAATGATGCAGAAGTCTTGTGAAGGTTCAATGAGGTGATGTGTACGAAAATTCTTGGATCTTCCTAGGCTTGTGGGGAGGTTACACAAATACCAAGATGAATACAATTAGAGAGTGAACAACAAAACTTACTGGGGTACCTCATTCTGCCCCAAGCAGAAAGATCAAATTCCTCCTGCTTTTTATTTTTCTAATTTCTAGGTCTAGAATAGAGTAAAAGCAATTGAGAGACAGGTCACTTTCTGCATAATTCTGAAGATTTAGAAACAAGGAGATAGGAGCATGCCATGGAAGAAATTGCTAGATGTGGTTAGAAATAAGGCTCAGAGACTCAGTGACTCCAATGCTCAACTTTTCCTCCAGCAAGGCTGCTTTCTAGCTGAAAATGATTCTTCTTTCTTCTCCTAGTTCTATACCTGGAGCTCTGCTCCCATAACAGTGGAAGAAAGCAGGCTACTTAGCACCACTAACTTCTGCATCCTTATTTTCTTCCTTCCCTGATGCCTGCACCTGTCTCTTGATTTGTATCACCGTAAAACCAATGGCCTCTGGCCTTTGGTCACCTATCACCTTCGATATCTCTATCCCTGTTGTAACCCAAATCCTTCCACAGTTAGTCTCTGTAGCCCCCAGGACCACTTTTTGACTTCCTGATCTGCCTCAAAGCAACCTTTGTCAGTATCTTTTCTTGTGTTCTGACCGTCAAAAGACAACAGTCTCAGTCTGAGAATCAGTGGTTTATCTGCTGCTTTTAAGCCTCTTCCTTTACTTTCCATTACATCCCTTCCCATTTAGTTTCTTTCTACTTTCTGCAGTCTTCATGGGCAGTCATACCTTGACCAAGTAACTTCCAAGTTGAGTTTGCCAGGATTCTGTCCCTTACCTTACTGTTATTCTCAAGTTCGTCACATCCCTTGAGCAACATCCTTCACCCAGATGTATAATTTTCAAAGCCTATTGCAAAATGAGAATGCTTGGCTCATTGTTTAATGATTGTTAAAGATGTCAAGAAGGCTACCATGGAACATAAAACAGAGGGCAGTCCCTTTTTTAAAGATTCATGTTGCATGTTCATTTATCTAGTCTAATATTCAACTCTAGACCTTCAGGAAGAGAGTCTTACAGGTCTACATTCTAGCCCAGACCCCTTCAATCTGGAGCTCTGGATTTAAATACAGTTCTTGTCTCAAAAGGATCATCAGGCTTTCTTGCTCCAGGCAGATGTATTTTAAATCTTGGACCTATCACCAACTAGCCATATGATTTTGAGGCAGGCTAGTCAGTCTTGCCAAGTTTCAGTATCTATATGTAAAAATTTAAAGGGCTCAATAAAAGTTTGTATAAGCATAAAACTAGGGAGTTAATAATAGATGCTGATAATTGTATCCAATAACTGGGCACATTCATAAAATGTAAAATGGCTCACAGCAGGGAACATGGTAGCTGCTATAACTCCAGTGCTTGCCTGGGTATTCAGCTGTTTGGAAGTGGTGCTAGCAAGACAGATAGCAAGGTGCTTGGGACTAACATTTGCATCAAGAGTCATTTTTGAAATCTATGCAAAGTTGTGTACTACCATGAAAGACAATGCTCCACGAGACAGTGAGCTCATGAGAAGGATCCATCTGTCTGATTCTAGGAGCTTGGTAGCAAATGCTTTTTAATTGATGGCCAATTTCCAGTCTCATTGTTGTCTGACTTTCCTTGAGCAGATGTAAAGAAGCGATTCTGTCAAAGTTGAGCAAACTGAATCAATGACTTTGTTGGGGTTGCTTCTAGGAACATGGGTGACTAAAAGGCTCCTACCAAAGTACGTGGGGAAACTTCTAGGTAGCTAGCTGTAGAGCTGTACAGTTTACTGGGTCGATACAGTACTAAAGAAACCAGTTCTTGCCACGCCCCTCTAAGCCCCTTTTTGTGACGGTCTGGTGGGAATGATCACAGCTATTCTGATTAAAGTTTGATGTTGGCCATGTCCAGCCCAAAGAAAAAGATTGAGATGAGTGTATAGCAGAAACAGAACTCAAGCATTAGGCTTAGGCTGCAAACGTCCATGGGGAGACTATTCCTTTGACCATGTTGATGGGTATCCTTCCAACCTTCTGGTGGATAGCAAAACCAGGCTGTTCTGTAGAAATCTGAAAGCTAGCACACTCCACTCTGAACCTTTCAATTTCTTCCCTTTTTAAATGCTTCTTCAGCCACACATCATTCAGTGCCATCGTTGACTATCAAGTCACTGAAGCTAAAGGATGAATCCTGGCCAATGTGCAGTCTGTTCTTCTTCACCAGAGCAGCCATCCCCAGGAGGTACACGCTGGGCACAGGGACAGAAGCTCGAGCTGGTGATGGGCAGAGTTGGCCTGCACAAGACAAAAAAACATCTCTTCTCCAGAGTAGGCATTGCAAATAAAAAAGAGGAAATTGTAGGCAAATAAAAATGTTATAAGATTGATCTTATTTATAGCTCAAACCTTAGGATTTGTGACTGATTGCTGTTTTTCTACCTTTTCATCATTACTTCACAGATAGAATTACCACTCAAGCTGTTTAAAATGACCATAAATCAGTAACAAAAACTAAAGATAAATGGGGAAAAGATATGACAGACAACACTGATATTTAATAGAGATACATAATGAAAAAAAATCAGTGATAAAATAACTTGCTATTTTTGTAAAAAAATAAGTTGTTAATTTTGAAATGGAATGTAATTTTTTCATATTGATAGATATTTATATTTAATATCAATGAAACAATTGTGGAGAAATGTTTGTAGATAATTTTAGAGGGTGCTCCCCTCAGAGGCTTGGAGGAGCTAGTGTGTGTGTGTGTGTGTGTGTGTGTGTGTGTGTGTGTGTGTAGGAGGTGTATTGAAAAAGTACATGTTATATTTTATATTTATATTATTTTATATAATTCCCTGAGTGCAAATTTTTATAAAAAGGATGATTAGCTTTTTAGTTATTTAGCCTAAAACTGTAGTGATTTTAACTCAAAAGGTGGCTGAGATATTTTTAGTCTCTTTTTCTTGGGTGGTTTTATCCCTGTAACAACACGTACGTGTTTGTACAACCTGAGGCAGAATTAGTCTAAGTAAAGCTTTTAAACTATATCTATTCAGTTGTTTGTGGTACCTGGTTTCTCAGGCCCCACTCTGGGTGGGTTTAATTCAACAGATATGTGTGTGTATGTGTGGGGTGGTCCCATGATCACAGCTGAGAACAATGGGAATTGGCTTTATTTGGGTTTCATAGCCCCTTGGCTGGTTTTAAATTCCAGGTTTCTTTTTAAGGAGGATGGAGCCGAAGGCCAGGTTACCATTGAGAAGTGTTCGGGAGGTAAGAACAGGAGACTGTAATTTAGTAGCTAAATTTTCCACATGAAGCCCAGCACCTGTGTTTGTGGCTGCAGGTGCTGCTCTGCCTTACCTGAAGCAGCTACGGGTATGCAAATCCACACCTGCCAGGTTTGCACCAACCGCAGCGATCAACGGTGGGCTCTAGTCTGCTTGCTAGTCCAAGGGTTTGGACTTTACTTATAATTATTGGGGTGACTCTTGTTTGTATTCTCCAAGGAAATCTAGCTCCTCGAGCCACCGAATACCCTCACTGTTTCATATAAAGCACACTTTTTAAAAAAATATTGTCATTTGGATATATACAATGAGAATGATTTATTAATACTATTTTTAATTAAGTCACGAGATATTTTAGCCTATACTCATTTTATTTTTTCCCAAGATATCTTCTTTGTAATTATTTGTACAGTATTTATATACCTACATCATAACACTACATTTTCTTGCGTCTAATTATATATTTATTTGGGTGTCTACTTTTATCCATGGGATGTCAGGTTCTTTAAAACAGTGGTTCTCAACTTGTGGGTCACAACACCCATGAGGTCACATGTCAGATATCCGGCATATCAGAAATTTACATTATGAATCATAAAAGTAGCAAAATTACAGTTATAAATAATTTTACAGCAGGGGGTCGCCACAACATGAGGAACTTTATTAAAGGGTCACAGCATTTTGGAAGGTTAGGAACCACTGCTTTAAAACAAGCAGGAGACTCCTTCCTGCCATATGTATTCGAGAAGTATTTGATTAGCTAATTCCTCATGAGGAGTTTACACGATTTAAAAGGTCTCAAAACTTTTTAACTTGTTTATTAATTTTTCATACAATATCACCTCCCCCCTCCACATAAAGACCTCAGAGCATAAAGCATATTTAGGAGGAATGTCTCCCAGTTGGTTTTTCTAGGTAAGAAATGTGGAATTTCTAAGTAAGAAACCTTGAAAATAATGGCTGGGGGTAGGATGGCGTTTAACACGGGCTAACTTCTTTGATGTGGTAACTTCCACGTTATCTGATCACTTATTCGAGGGCCTAGAAAGAAGGCAGCTCGGGCCACATGGAGTTCAGCTTGTTCTCTTGGTTTCTGGTTTTAGTACCTGAAGTGTTTTCCTTCCTGATGGCAACCGAAGAAAGTGACTCAGGTTCGCACATCTGCTCTCTCACATCCAGCGCACTTCCTGTCCTTTCCCTAACATTTGGAGACTGAAAGGACCGGGAGAAAATCAATTGTCCAAATATTGACCCGCTTTGCAAAGTTGGAGCCACCTGACTTTTAGCTGCCTGCCGGAAGGCCGATAATCCCCGTCTTGCTGCCGGCAAGAGCCACGTTGTCCTCAGCTGAAGGCCAGTGATTACGTCCCTGGCAATGCTCATGACACACATTCAAAGTGGCACAGAGTCACTTCTGGGGCTGCGTGTCCAACGATGGTGGCTGATTCAGACTTCAGTTTGAGCCTTGATTGGGGATTTTGAAATACCAGACGTACTGAGGGCAACACATCGTGTTGCTATCAGTATTTATTAGCTTAAAGGGAACTAATCCTCTTCGGTCATCTCAGTCTCTAGCTCGCTGCTTCTCTCCCTCTCTCAAGCGTTGACTTTCCCTGTTCTTTATGTCAACCCACAACAACCTATCTGTCTGAAAGCCCCTTTTCCTGCTGGGAAGAATCCTCTGGCCACCTCTTGAGGTATCTTTGGTCTATTCAGGACTCAGCCCCATTTATCTTAACACTCGCTGTGACTAACTTTGATTATCCTTTTGTGGTGGAGAGGAAATTTCTCTCTCTCTCTTTTTTCTTTTGCCAATTGAAGACTACGTTTACATCGAAGCCTTTAACTATGTTAAAGTAGATTTCGTGGTACTGTACACTTATAATCGTAGCACTTGGGAGGGTGGGGCTGGAGGCTGATGACTTCAAAGCCAGCCTGAGGGTATCTAGTGAGACACTGACCTTCTCCCTCCTCCAAAGAAAAGAAAATACAAGCTCTATTTCAGACTAACTGAGAAGGGGGAAGCATGGCAGGATCTTGGTGAGTTCTAGTTGCCAGAGTTCATTTTGGTGACCCTACCACTTGGTTTGGCATCTTCCAGTCTTGCTGAAGGAGTCCATTGCAATTCAGATAGGTGTTTGGTGGGCACATTACAAACTGCCTGTGATGGTGACGAACAGGAAGTTAGAAGTATCCAAAGAGGAGGCTCACGTGGGAGATGCTGTTGCTAGATCTGGACCACCAGCCTGAGAAGCTTTAGCCAAATGGACTCCTGATTGCCCAGATTCACCTGGGTGCTTAGGACCTCCCCAGTCAGCGTTCCAGGCCCTACCCCTGCAAACAGAATCTTGGCCATGTTTCAACACAAGTGATTTTAACTCCCTATTAGTAGAACTGACTGCCTCATGGAAGTGGCTCCCTAACTATCATATCCTTGAGAACCACAGTAGGGTTCATGAAACTCAGACCTGGAGGCTTCAATCCCAGGGACTTGCATTCCAGCCGTGCTGGCTTGGAGCCCAGAAATTTGCATCTTTAATGAGTGTCCCAGGTGAGACACTGCTGGGGCATGAGGAACACATGAGTGGGGGCATGACACACTGAGATGAGTGTTAATCAGATCATAACCACAGATAGCTAATTGCAGAGTGGCTATCTTATCAACTCTGGGTATCGGAAGAGAGCGCTCCCGTAGCTGGCTGTACCTTTACAGGCTCTCTTCTTGAAAGCGGAAGGGATGTTAACTTTTTAAACCTCTGTCGCTGATGGTAGAGCAAGGGTGTTTGAAAACAAGGGCAGAAAAGTAAACATTGTCACCTGACAAGTCAGCTCTTTGTCAAGGACCCCAGGGTAAACCAGAAGGCTCTTATCTTACTCTGCCCCTTTTCGACTCCACTGTAGGACTGCTGTGGGAAACAGGAGAGACGGCTTGGGAATCCTCTCTAACATGGCCCCTGTTGTACACAGATAACCACCGTTAAGTTTATCTGGCAGTACCCAGGCCTTTCTAAATCAGACAAAGTCGGTTTTCATTAGGGATTCCCAGCTGCTGTTAGGGCAGAAACTCTCAGCATGGCTGAGAGAGGCCACGCTCTGTGCCTTCACATTCTGGCCCTGTGCAGATCATACACTCATCTCCTTCTAGGTCAAAGTCACCGGAAACCAACACATTGGAAATAAATTCAGGAAACTGATTTTCTATAAATTCTCAGAGGCTCTTTCTTTTTTTTGTTTTTGCAGCAATTCAGTTAATAACCAGTGAGATTTCAAGCTCTTTCTACAATGATTTCAGTTAAATTGCTTTACCCATTATGGTTTTCATAGCGACGTTTAAGGAATTGAAGCTCAGTTTTGAAATTCTCCTTACTCCATTCATTAATTACCAACCTGGTACAGAGTGAGGCGAGAGGCGCCCTAGCGATGCAGGCCTGAAGAAGGATCTGGTGGTGCCAGGCTGGAGGCTTTCAGGGAGCGGTCTTTATGGTCGGAACAGGGGGACGTCATAGATCTATGGGAATAACAGTCCAAATTCTTTCACAACAAAACTTTTAGAGGCTTTAGAAAGTAGTACTTGCAGTGCCTTATAAATTTGTTGTAATTTGTAGTCCTGCTCGAGCTGTGGAGGAGGCCAGGGGACTGAAGAACTGGTATTTTTAGCTCTCTGAGCAGGGAGCCGGTTCTGGCTCATTAGGAGCCTTCCCCATTATCACAGGGCTCAGGTGTGGATTGCTAAAAAGAATGATGAATGTCATCAACACTGAAGCAACTGGGAGAAACATTGGAAACGAAAGGTAAGGGCATTTTAAACCACACACAAACATGGCTTTCCTTTCCTCTCCGGTCAGTTTTACAACACTGGTCCTTTAATCCCACTACCAGTGACCAGGCAAGGCACACCTCAAGAGCGTGTCGTCAAGTGTCTGCAGTAAGAATAATGACACGGAGAGGGTTTACCAGGGGAATCAACCCGGGTTAGCATGGAAGCTGAGAAGTTCTACAACAGGTCGCCATCTGCGACCTGGAGACTCTGAGTGCAGGAGGAGGGGTGCTCAGTCCAAGCAAAGGCCTGGAAATCTGGAGGGGGCCAAAGAGACAAGCCCAAGGGTTCAAAGACTGTGCACCCTTGAGTTTTGGTGTCTGCCTCTAGGAGAGGAAGGGTACACCTGTTCTAAAGTAGAATGAAAATATTTCTTCTTTTCTGCCTTTTTGGGGCTCCAGGATGATTGGCTGGTGCCCCCTCATTGAGGACAGATCCTCCCATTCAGCCCACTCAGATTTACACATGTTCTCTGGAAACAGCTTTAGAACCACACCCCCCAAAACTGAATTACCAGTTCTCTACATAGCTCTTGACTTGGTGAAATATAGTCAAAACTGAGTGTCATGGGTTTTTTGGGCTTCTTTGAACTTTTAAATTTAAGGCAGTGGTTCTTAACCTTTCTGATGCTGTGACCCTTTAACACAGTTCTTCAGGTTGTGATGACCCCAGCCATAAAGTTATTTCGTTGCTACTTCATAACTGTCATTTTGTTACTGTTATGCATTGTTATGTAAATATCTAAAATGCAGAATATCAGATAAATGACCCCTCTGAAAAGAGAGTCGCAACCCACAGACCGAGAACTGCTGGCTTAAGGTGACATGAGTCCTCTAGTGCCATGACTGTTGTGGGCATAACCAACCACTTTCTGATTGGGTTTGAGACCTGTTTCTGTAAACCTGGCAAAGAGCCCACAGCTGGGAGACCCTAGGCCATAGTGGAGATCTGCTGCTATTGTTTGGCTAAATGATCAAGTTGACAAACTGCCTTCTGAATAGATTAGTGTTGCACATAGCTATAATCAGAGGCCCTTCATACAGCAACAGAGGTAGGTAATACAGGAAACCTCAAAGACCAAAGCTTATAACATCAGTAAAGAAAAGTGGTTGATCCTTCATGAGAATCACATCATCTTATAGAAGTAGAAAGGATCCAGAGGGTGGGCAGATGTGCTGCAGAAAGCTTCTGTTTGGATCTGACATCATGGCCATTGTACTCGTGAGCTCACAGTTGTGGGTATCTACACAAGACCTCCACAAGCTTAGTTCCCTCCACATTTCACAGGGTTCCAGGGAGGAGCTCAGGACACCCCTCCCTCCCTCTGGGACTACAGAGAATTAGCTATCCTTGGAGGAGGGCGTGCCGTTTCTTTAGTGGTGTAGCTCTGAGAAGTTGTCTTTGCTCCAGTGAATTAGCTCTCATCCTCTTACTATTATTATTTTGCTAAACTGACAGGGTATCAAACTGGCCTTGGAATTCCTATCTTTACATCCAGATTAGTGCAGCCCTCAGCCCTCCTCAGAGAGGTTTCTTTGTGAAGTGGATGACAGTTAAAGCGGAAATTGGAACCTCAAAACTGGGAAATGTGCGGAGAATAAATGTCTGCGGGATGCTCTGCCACATCCCATCATATCAGGGCCCAGGAAGCTTCCTAAAGAGGGAGGAAAAAGACCGTAAGAGCCAGAGGTTAGGATGGACCAGAGTGAAATGATATACTCATGAGTCCTGAACCAATCTTTCTTCAGATCAAGTCTGTCAAAAGGCCAGCATGGGGGAGGAGCTCATGAGCCCCCACTTGTAGCTGAGGATTTATTGACAGTTAACTGACGGCTTTTAGAGGATGGTGAATCAGTCTGCGTTAGGACTGTGACCCCTTGTAAGGTGTCCATGCACTTACACTCCAAAGTACATGGACAGTAAAAATTGGACGCAATTTTTTTTTTTTTTTTAGAAAAGAACAAAAAATTGGGAGAGAAATGAGGAGGTGGGGGAATGCACCTGGGAGGAGTTGTGGGGGTGTGGAGGAAGAATATCACCAAAAAAACATTGTATACTGGTATGAAATTTTACATGAATTAATAGAAATGTTATATGAAAAATACCCCTTGCCCACTCTTGGCATGAAGCTATATTTAACTCAGTGAGTCACACACATAAAGGGGTGGAAATAGAGAACAGGGCCTGCTGGGAAGACAGGGTCTAGCGGGGGAGGGAGGAGACTAGAGGAGAGTGAGGAACAAAACACTAAGATTTATTGCACAAATGCAAATGTAATGAAAGGTTAAACGTTGCAAATATATCTTAAAGGCTGTTGGAACCATTTGCTTTTGCTATACTATTCAGAGACAGTTCATTAAAGTAAGCTTTCTGGATAAACTGAAAATTGGCAAGTGAACCGCTTAATAAATGGATAAGGCTGGGAAGCGCAGTTTGGAATCACAGAAGTTGCTCCTTGTTTCTGGGTCACCAATCATGATGATGGTTTTTGTTTGTGAACCTCCTAATCTCAGTACCGGGTGTGGACCATCATCCACTTCCTCAACCCTGTCCTGTTGCTCTGGGCCTGCTGGGTCATGTTTCCTACCCTCCAGGCCAATTGCCTGCACTCTCCCTTGCTTTGAGCTTGCTGTGGCAAATGCAATGATCTACAATGACCTGAGCTGAAACAGGAGCATGCCTCTTTGAGGTGAAGACCCTCAGTAATCACAAATGTGCCCAAGCAGCAAAAGGCATCAGCTTGTTATTTTATCATAGAAACAGGAAGCAAACTAAGAAAGCAACCAAACCTCAAACTTGATTAAGGACGTGTTGGTAGGGAAGTGGGCCTTTGGCTAGAATTACAGGCAGCAGACTAGCTGGGACTAGCAATGAACACTGTTGCCCTGAGGAGCCCCTGATGTGGAATATCCTTCTGTATATGTGTTGCTTATGAATAAAGCTGCTTTGGCCTATGGCAGGGCAGAATATAGCAGAATAGAAGAGATGTATAGAGTAGACAGAGTCAGGGAGATGCCATGGAGCTACTGAAGGAGACAGACACTGGATCCTTACCAGTTATTCACAGCCTCGTGTCTATGCACAGATTAATAGAAATGGGTTAATTGAAGATGTAAGAGTTAGTTAATAAGCCTGCATTGATAGGCCAAGCAGTGTTATAACTAATATATTTTCTGTGTGATTATTCGGGTCTGAGTGGCCAAGAAACGAAAGAACAGTTTCCGATTACACATGACATGGGGCAACTACACTTAGAAAGTCTAGGAAGGAATTCTAGACACAAAAGAACAGAGTTAAGCACACCTTCTTGGTAGCTACATCTTTTTTCAGATAAGCTCTGTTTGCCGGCCACAGGCAGATGCACAGCCCCTTTATGAAGCGCTGGTTTCCTGGTTTGTGCCGGTAGGATGAACTCTGACTCTTTTGGGAGGTCCTGTACTTAAATGGGGTTTGCGAGAAGCATACTACTAGTTGCTTAATGGTGACATAAACCCACTGCATCCCTGGTGCTGGGGCAGTGAGCATGGCTTGTAGAGGCAGTGAACATACCTCTGCCATGTTTGACTGGGTGGAGCTAACAGGCAGGGCCATGGAGTTGGTCCTAACCATGTCCACTTAGCGTTTTAAGAAAAAGGTACTCCTGGTCAGAAAAGAATTTCAGATACACAACAGGACAGATTCAGGCATAAAAGACCTCTAAATGAGACATGGTATATTTAAAAATGTATGTAGGACATAAGCTTGGGAGAGGAGAGGAAAGAGAGTATAGATAGGTATAAAAAGTAAATTCTTTAAAGAGACAGTAAAAGTAATATAAAAGAGCACAGACAGCCATAGATTAAAGGAGGAAAGATAATAAAATAAATAATAAAAAGTAGTAGAGTAAAAAAAATAAGCCATATAAAGATGGAAAATACACAGATAGTCTACATTATGTATATTATTCTGTTTTCTTTGAATTTTTTGACTGCAGAACAACATTTGTTTTTCATTGCTGCTACGTTAAACCAACATGAAGGCATCTTGATTTCAAAATTTGCATCTAAGAATATGTTGCTTTGAAAAGAGGTTCTGCTTTTGTTTCCACAGAAGATTAGAATTTGTAGATTCCTTCCAGGCTAATGTGGTTTCATGGAGCAAGACCCCCGAAAAGTCTCCATGAACCCTAAAAATACTTTGCCCAACAAACAGCAGAAAGCAGTTTGAAGAAAACAATGCCCAAATTCCCAAAATGATTATTTATAAGCATTTATTTTTATTTAAAGGGGGTTGATTATAAGTGATTAAAGGTCACAATCAATTTCAAAAAAAACTATAAGAGGGATGTGATATAGAGATGAATACTTTACATTGATATGGACTTTGGTCTACTGCTACAAATTTAAGTTTGATTTGTTACACTGTGTATATGTATTTCTGCTCCTGTTTAAGGTATTGTGTTTGTGCAGCTCATTTAAAAATATAATGCATAATTTAAAATTATAGATGAATAATGATTTATAATGAAACTTTTAGTCATGTTAGTTAGGTTTTCTTGATATATAGAGATATATCTCAGTTAGATAGATAATCTTCACTACTTCAAAGACCTATGAAACATAGCATTTAAAATGCTTTAAGAACTTAGACTTTTCTAGACAGTGAGACATGTCTGCTCTGGCAGCAGCAATTAGTTCAGAGAGGTTGATGGACATTGAAAAAACTCATTATGGAATTTTCTTTCAATGTGACAAGGCTAGTCATTTGGGGAAGAAACTGCTCTTACCTGGACTGCTTGATGGTACGCTGTATAAACTGGACATGCAGGACTCACAGAAAAATGACTGCTGAACATTTCAAAAGACGGAATGATCCTTTAGGGTTTCTGCTTCATAGATGAAACTGTCAGACATTCTACAGGATACAGAAGAAAGTGACTGAAAAACTGCCAAGACAGCCAAAACGGCCTCTCGAATTTCCTGCTTCATGGAAAAGTCTGCCGGATACTATGGGCCTGTAGATTGAAGATGGATGCCCCAAGTTTACAGAAGAACTTTGGGTGACTGTCCAGGCAGCAAGACGCCATGTAGCTGCTGAAGGAGACAGACGCCAGATCCTTACCTTAGTCACAGCCTTGTGCCTATACACAGATGAATAGAAATGGGTTAATTTAAGATGTAAGAGTTGATTAATATGCCTGAGCAAATAGGCCAAACAGTGTTGTAATTAATAGAGTTTCTGTGTGATTATTCGGGTCTAAGTGGCCAGGAAATGAAAGAACAGTCTCCGTTTATAAGCCCCTAGCAGAATGAGATTAGAATGTAGACTCTCTAGTTGCTTAATAGTGGTAAATGGAGTTTGTAATACTGTAATAGTATTGTCGAGTGTGTAGGAGTTTATTCCTAAAGAGGAAAGAGATTTCTTTATATGAGTCCTGCATCCTAATTTTACATGTGAATATATTCACCTAATTCTGTATACATGTTGTAATCATATATGTGCAATGAGATGTATGTAATTGCTGTATGTTAGTTCCATTCAACGCCTGAAGTTGCATCTATTTTTCTTTTTAATCATCTTTATATACTGAAGGTCTGTGGGTTTGTCTGATAAATAGCAGAGGACCCTTGCTTGTGGTTCACCCACCCACAAGGGTCAATGATGAACCTCAGAGAGAGCCAGGGGCTTTTTGAAACTGAAAGTGAGTTATGAGCTCATATATATGCTTGATCTTGTTTGTCAGAGGGGCTGAATGAATATATTAGGTCCATTCTTGGGTCTTGTATGTCCCAACAATTAAATACCATCAAGCTGATTACAAGACCACCCATTCGTGAGCTGGAGAATGGATGTCCACTGAAGGGTGTATGTGTGACATTTACTTGCCTGAAACCACAAAAGGAATTGGAGTGCTTTATAATATAGGTTTAGGACCACATGGGTGTAGTAAGGGAATGTTAACCCATACAATACTGTTACCATAATTTCTTACTTACATAGTATCCTTTGAAAATGATTGAAAAGTGAGGAAAAGTCACAGTGCATAGAATATAAACAATATGTGCCCTTAGAGATACATAAAAATTTTATCACCAGCTGCTAAATAAGTAAGTGGTATGGAAGGTTCTATTTATAAAGCAAAAAAGGACAATTTTTTTTTTCTGTACTAGTGTCTGTTAGTTCCTTCTGGGACTGTTATAAAAATTACTTGTGGGGAAATAGATTTTTTTTTAGCTAAATTAAAAGCAGAGGGGAAAGCCCAGGGATTAATTACAAAGCAATGTTGGTGATAATGGCAAGAGCAGCGTTTGAGTGACTGTGACGCACTAAACACTGCTGTGCTAAGTGGTTTATCTGTGTCATCTCATTTAATTTAATCCTTACCAACATTCCATGGCTTAGACACGATTACCCCATCCACAGATGAGAAAACCAAGAAACTAATGGTCTTAATAACTTGCCAAGATAAGGGTTAGTAAATAGCATAGAAGAATTTTGACCCTTCATGGGTTGGCAAAAACAAATGCTTTACTCCCAATAAGTAAGACCAAAATATTGAAATGGCTAGGGTTTTTAAAGAATTAAATGCCAAAATAATATTAATTCCCTTCAAGAAACAGGCACTGAGCCCTTTCTGCTGCCAAATATGCACATACAAATGTCAGGATTCTCTTCAACCAGCTTTATGTTTTTCTGTTGTTTTGACACTTTTATTTTGAGCTGAAGAGGAATGGAACCTTTCTACAAAAGTCTCTGAATGTCAGATGTATAGGTAAATTCCTAGAGACACCAGAAATTCAGATGGAAATCTTAGGGTCAGAGGCAATAAGCATAATGTTTTATTTGTAAGTTGAACTAAATGTCTACTGTCATACAAGAAATATATGTCTGTCTCCTGACTGGTATGTGAATTTCTATGTGGTTTTGGTGTTTAAATCTGACACAGGCAGGTAATCCATAGATTGAAAAAACACTTTACATATTTAAACGTGAGAGGAATGCAGTGCACAGCTCATGGGGTTTTCCATTTGAACACTTTGTAGCGGACCTGGATTTGGAACCCTGGATGACTGGTTGGCAGACAGCACTGGCAGAGGGATGCCATAGTGACCAGATGTGCGGTGTGATTTTTACACCGTGTCCTGGTAACAAGAACTAACATCAAGGACATCAAGGACGTTGTTATGTCTTTGCTACTTCACATTCCAAAGCATCATGGGGGAAACTTGGCGGAACATTGGTTCTAGTGAATGGGCACAGCCAACACCATGAGACCTGATGTTCCTACTACATTGTTAGCTTCCAAAATGACAGCTATCTGAATGTCCCAGGACATTGTGAAAATATTTGTGGAAAACGGCAATGATTTACTGGGGCTGATTGAGAAAGCCAAAGCAAGCGTGGCTGTGGATCATCCATCAGAGGTGAGGTGAAGGGTGTTGATTCTCATCCACCCTCCGTTTAACAAGGTTTCAGGCAAGTTCCTTCCTTACTCATCTCCTCAAAGCCAAACTGAAGGATGGGGAAAGGAACAATGTCTCCTGGGAAAACCTGGAGGGAATGGGATTCTGTCACCTTGGAAATTACCAGAACTTCTGGAAGAGGGGAAGAAAATCTCTTTAAGGAATACAGAAACTTGTTAGGTGACGTCTTAAAGTTTAAAAGCTAAGTACGTTTTGTAACACAAAGTTAAAAAAGTCAAAAAGATTTAAAGAATAAAATGTTTATATTTATCAATGGAAATGTGAGTCTTTTCAAGTTGAGAACAAGCTCAGTAGAGGTTGTTCCAGCTTCAGGAATAAGTACCTGCTTATCATTGATCCAGTAAGCACAAGAATGTGGAATATACCTCAATATTCATCTGTGTATTCACAATTAGTAGTGCTGGAAATACAGTATTGAACAAAAGAGATCCAATCCTGACTCTCAAGGACTTTATATGCTTGATAAAAAGTGTAATAAAGTGATTTAACGTGCTGGAGAGAGTGGGAGATGGTAGGGTATCCTGCTCAGACACTCTTACCTGAAGGAGTTACCACCCAGCTCTTGGAGACTTGGCCTTCTAGGATTGTTCCAGAAGTGGAAAGCTGTCTTGATCTGTAAATATGTGAATGGATCAGCTCTGGGCTGGCTTCTGGCTGAGCGGGGGACTCTACTGAAGAACAATGTCTGGCCTCAGGTCTCCCGATGGGACTGGTTGAAGCTGTCTTTGAGGTCTACATCAGCAAACTGGGTTCATCATTGCCCATTACTTCTCTTACTTCCTTCACCACTGAGGGCCAGGGCTTGGCTGAGGTGGGTGAGGGGCACAGGTGCCAAGCTGAGGAGCCACCTTTGCTCCCAGGGCCTTGCTCAGGAGTGACATCTAACTTCAAACAAGTTTTTAGAAATGCAAGGGATGTCAACAAGGCATCGAGGTTTAATTTGTTTTCAATTTTAAACACAGTCTACTAGCTTAGGCTGGTGTGGAATTCCTGGTCTCCCTGCCTCAGTGTCCCAAATGCCCAGGTGACAGGTGTGAGTCAACACACTCACCTTAAGGCTTTAGTTTTGTAAAGGTGATTTAAAGAACAATTGGGAATAAAAATTTAGATTAAATTTCAGTCCCGTATGGGTGCCATAAAGTGCAAATATTCCAGGAACATAGTCATAAAAGATAATCTTTAGGCATGGCTTGGCTTACAAGCACCTGTATCTTAACTGGTTATAGCTATCACCTTGCGTAGCAAGCTGGCAAGGTCTTAAGGTCTTTGACACCAGCTGAATGTCTTTTAAGAGGACCAGATAATAAAACATTCCCATGGGAAATCATAATAATCATAGCTAGCTGTAATTCTTGCTATACTTTATTGGCACTTGCTAAATGTATTTTATAGTCTATTGAATCTTTATACTAATCAGGTAGAAATGTTCAGCTAAACTTTGTGTGTGTGCATGTGTGCACGTGTGTGTGTGTGTGTGTGTGTGTGTGTGTGTGTGTGTTGGGGGAGTGATGTATGTACCATGGTGCATGTGTGGGGATGCCTTACAGGAGCTGGTGCTCTCTTTCCACAAGTGGGTACCAGGAATGAAACTCCGATTGTTAGACTTGGTGCCAGATGAATAAAAAACAAACAAACAAACAAACCCCAAGAGAACAGAAGCACAAAAAGTTTACATGTTTTACCCCAAATACAGAGCAGGGTTAGTGTCGAGATTCTTACCCAGGAGTCAAGGCTCTGCTTCTTCCATGGAACAATGTTGGATGCAGTTCCTGCAATAGAATTCTGACTTGAACCTGTGTTCCCTTACAGTTTTGCATTTATAAACCAGCCATTTGGCTGCAAGGAGTTCTGATCCTAGAATCAGATGTCAACATGGGGAAAACATAGTACTTACTGCTGGTAGAAGTTCAGACTCATCCAGCCACTATGGAAATCAGTGTGGAGATTCCTCACAAAATTAAGATCTACCACATGATCCAGCTATCCCATTCTCAGGCATAGACCCCAAAGACTCTTAGTCTACTATAGAGACACCTGCTCATTAGTGTTCATTGCTGCTTACGACACAATAACTGGGAAATGGAAACAGCCTAGGTGTCCAGCCACTGAGGGATGGAGAATGATAATGTGATACATTTGCACATTGGAACAATTTTCAGTTGTTAGGGAAAAACAAACTTCTGAAATTCACAGGTGAATCAGTAGAATCATTCGGTGTGAGGAAACCCAGACCCAGAATGATAAATATCGCATGTTTTCTCTTGTTTGTGGGTGTTAGATTTGAATTTTTCAGGTATGTAAGTTTGGTTTAGAATACACATATAGCTCAGTAACAAGTAAGGGTTTAAGGGGTATGGCTTTAAAGAGAGGGGAAGTAGAAAGTAGTGGTATATGTAGACAGAAGTTTCTGTCCCACATGGTTCCACAACCATTCAGTCTCAAAGAAACACACAGAGGCCGATATTAATTATAGACTGTTTGGCTTATTAGCTCAGGCTTATTATTAACTGGCTGTTACAACGTAACAATAATTCTTATCTATGTTTAACTACATGGCTTGGTACCTTTACTTAGTGCTGCATTTTTATTTTGCTTCCTCTGCATCTGGGTGGTGACTGCAGACTGAGAAATACCTCTTTACAGAATTCTCCTATTCTGGTTACCCTGCCTATACTTCCTACCTGGCTACTGGCCAATCAGCATTTTATTAAACCAATACGAGTCAGGGTACAAGAACATTATCCCATAGCACTTTCTCTTTTTCTCTTTTCAACACAAGACCCTGAATCTAATCTCCTTTGTTTAGCTTTTTTTCCTGACCATTATCCATAACAACTTGTAACCAACACACTAAACAAAAATAAACATCCATAATCCATTTTTGGGAACATAGGCATAGTTTTCTAGCCTACTTCATGCTGATTGGGGATGCTGATAATCTTATGGGGACCCAAAGAAAATTTAGGATTATGGTCAAGTCCTGGCTGGAGTATTCTATGAAACTGGACCATCTCAGCCAGCAGTCTTGAAGCTGTTCTGGATGTGGAACTCAGAAGAAACGGCAACAGAGGTGCTCTGAAATGCTGAGCCATCTGGGCCATCTGTTCCCATTGGATGGATAATCCATTTATGGATATTTAGCTTTGTTTAGTTGACATAGCATTGAACTTCCTCCTACTGACTTATTGTTATACCCATAGATCAATGTGCCTTTCAACACTCACCAGAGAAGCTTCCATTTGCAGTAGATGGTAATTAACATAGTAGCCTAAAAATGGCAAGGTGTAGAGAAGAAGAAATAGCAGAATGCTGAGCCTTAAATAGGACATCTGTGTCACACCCCCTCCTCCCAAGGCTCACAGACATTATGATGTCAGAAAGACTGTGAAAGCCAGAGACAGCAAATGAAAACAAGGAAATACTGGTCTCTGGACACAACAGGACATTTGTACATATAGACTAAAAGCATGAACAATCCTAGGGGAAGCTCAAACCAGACCAAATACCAGCATGGAGGCATGAAATGGGCATGACCTGATATAACATTTTAAAATTTAAATGGCCTTTATATACTTCGTAAGACTTGTAATACATATATACCAGAGCCAACCCTGTTTTTGGTAACAATGACATGTCAATGTAGGTTCACAGAATGGGGCTGCTGTTGGTAACGAGGAGGGTAGACCTATGAGGTCTTTTTCCTCTTCATTGCCCTGTGATGACCTGAGAGTGTCTGTTCTCCCTCCCAACCATACCTGCTCATCCTCTTAAGAGAGTGTTCTGCTGTGTGGATGGTCAGAGAACACATTCTGTTCTCTTTCTACCACCTCCCTACTTCCTTCACTGACCAGAGTGGCAGCTCATTTTCTGGTTTCTGAAAAAAGAGGCCCCTTGCACCTCAAGTTTCAACCTCTGCACTGTGGTGAACAGACTCTCCCAGCATTCATGTCCCCTTGCCTCAGAATGTGAAGTCACCCAAAACAGAGTCTTTACTGGGTTAAGTTATTGATGTAGTTCTGTTGGCTCAGGGTACTGCTGTTGTCCTTATGAGAAGAGGAAAGAACAGAAACAGAGAAGAGGCAATGTGTGTGTGTGTGTGTGTGTGTGTGTGTGTGTGTGTGTGTGTATGATGTATGTTTATCACACACATATGTACAAACACACACACACACACACACACACACACACACACGAAGATGGGGGGAGAGATTAGAGTGATGCAGCCTAAACTCTGGGGAGCCAAGGATTGCTGACGAACACCAGAGGTCAAAAGAAGCAAGGCAGCCACCAGAAGGAACACAGCATGGCTGTCACCCAACTGATGATGTAGCTGGGCTTGTAGCCCCCAGAGCAGTGATAGAATAAATTCTGTCATTTAAAGCTCCTGGCTGCACACGGCTTTGTTTTCATAGCCCTGTAGAAAACAAACACAGGAGAAACTTTGCCTTTGTTATTGCAGTTCTGGAGCCCTTCTATTTCTGTGTTCATCCATGCATCTTGCTCCACCCTCCCTTATCTTCCTTGGAGAGCCAGACCCAGAGACTCACAATGACGGGTACTGCTTTACCCAGTTGGCCCAGCTACATCATCACACATATATCACATGCATTCTGAGCATCTTGGGGATGGCTCTTCTAGGCTTTCCTTAGTTTAGCCTGCCATGACTAACCTGATTTCTTCATGTGTTGTCTCCAAGGAGACAGTCCCTGCTCCAAGTCTTTACCCTGCTTTCCCCTCTTGACGTCTAGAGCCCCTGGAAACCCTCTTGGGCATCCCTTTGCTCTGCTCCTCTGAGGACAATTGAGCTTTTAAAACCCAAACTAGTGCTTGCTCCTGTGGGAATATTTTTCCCCCAAAACATTTATAATTTTGTTTTCTGAACTTTTTTGCAGTGTAGTCACCACCACATTTACGTATATTTGCATCCACTCCGGATCTTGTGACATTTCCCACCCTTTCTGACTTGATTTTTTAAAGCTGTTTAATACCAAAGACGGTGTCTTTGCCCTCTTTTATATGTTCTCATAAGTCCTGAGCACAGAGATAAGAGCTCATTAAGACTCAAATGAATTCATGTTTGAAAACTACAGAGCAGTCATGGGTTCCTCAGCAAAGAGAGCCAGTGACTTTCAGTGGAAGACAATCGCCGAATCAACCAGAATCCTCTGAGGAGGTCACCAAGCATGTGGACACAATTTCTTTAACCTTTCAGAAAACGTCTTGACAAACGTCCATACCAGAGGTTATTTAAAAATAAAAATGAGTCACGATGAGATTGTGGGGAATGTTTTGTCATGGTTAGGGAGCTGGCTTAGGGATCGGAAACAGCCCAAACCAACTCTTCTTGTAACACATTCCGTATGTTCTCAACCTTCTGCCCGAAGAAAATACAGCTCCTTTCTACGTGGGAAGGTCATATCGGGGAGACCCCTCAAGAGATACACAATTCGGTTTTTATTACCCTGTTTTGAAAGGGAGATCTTACAATTCAATCTGCCCCCAGAACGCTAAGTTAAGAGAGACTTTAAGATTGGCCCGAAATGTCTCTGGGAGGATACATGTCATCAGCGAGGTGACGGATGAACCTGGCCACTGGCAGTGGCAAGGGAGCATCAGAGGAAAAGGAGCAAGGGCTCCTTTCAGGAGGTGATGAGTTCCGAGGTATCCCTTACGACTGGGCAAGGGAACCAAGACATTCAGTTCTCAGCCTCAGTGTTAAAATATTTGATAAACATTTATTTAGAAGAAAGGCTAGAAGTTGCCTGGACAAGGACATAAGACGGCCTCAGCGGCTCCTGATCTCCTCTCAGTTCTGCTTGGAAATTCAGTTCAATCTGGAACTTTAAAGTCTGCCTAAGGAAAACAGCAGTATATGTGCCTATGTCCCCCAGTGATTGGTTGTTAATCTATCACATGTTTTTGGGTGTCCTCAGTAATTGGCTGTTAACCTATCACGTGATTTGGGTGTACTCAGTAATTGACTGTTAGCCTATCACATGTTTTGAGGGTCTCCCAGTGATTGACTGTTTATCGATCGCATGTTTTGAGTGCCCCCCCAGTGATTTGCTGTTAATCTATCACGCAAATTGGGTGTCCTCAGTGATTAGCTGTTAGTCTATCACATGTTTTGGGTATCTCCCCCACCCCCAGCCGTGATTGGCTCTTAAGTATCCCAAGTGAACTACTACTTGGGAAAGAGAATTTTAATGTTAGAAAGGCTGCCCGTTGTTGGGTGGGTGGGAGTGGTCATGGAAAGAAAAAAGAAGAAGAACACAACCCAAATGATCAGGAAGAGAAGGCAGGTGATAGTAGAAAGTTTAAAACATGTCTGAAAAAAACAAAATGGCATCTAGATCCATCCTGAGAGTGTGTGCTGATACAGGGTTCCCGGGACCACAGTCCTTCCTAAACATTGTCCCGGGCTGGTAGGCAAGGCATGGACATCCACGGAGAGTGTGCAGCCATCTTTCAATTGTGGGTTTTACTGCTGCATATTTCAAGCCTGGAAACGTCTGCAATCACAATGAATGTATGAATTTCAACCTCTACCCTTTCATCTTCCTATAAAAGGGGGATTTAAACAGACACGGAGTAGGTGCGAAGCTAGTCTTATTTTAGGTGTCAGCCATCTGCTGGTCGCGCCAAGATTAGAACAGTTCAAAGGAAAAGCATGTATTGAATTAAATAGATAACAGTGATTCTCCTGCTTAACAATCCAAACTCATAAAGCAGAGTCACGCAGGACTGAGCTCCAAATAATGATGCTCAGGGATTGGATTACTCTGAAAGGAAAATGAAGATCATATTTTCTCTCATATGGATGTGTGCATACATTTATAAACATATATACGTAAGCATACATATTTCAGGGCCTGCATTTCTTTTTAGACAGCTTTCCAAAATGTTATTTCTATGGAAAAAAAAGAAAGAAAAAGAAAGAACCTAAAGACAAAAACAAAAACAAAAAAACCCAAAAACAAAAAAACAAATCTGGAGTGATGACTACAGAATTTGTCCTTACCAGAGTCCCAGGGATAAAGGAGAAGCTGGATTCAAGATTTGGAGTACAGGGGCAAAATAGACATGGCTGGGTGGAACACAGTAATGACTTGACTTTTGGGAGGCATCAGAAACGAGTTCTCCTCAAGGACCATGAAGAGATATTCTAAACAAAGCAAGATTTTAGGGTCATTTTCTTTTTTTTAGTTGGGAGGAATTGCATTCGAAGTCTATGCATTTTGGAAAGTAAGAGTCATGAAAAAGCTTCACCCTAGGGACAATTTAACGTTGTAAAACAAGTGCAAAACACAGGTCTTCTTGTGCAGGCCCTTGCAGGAGTGGCAGGGACACAGATGTGTGTGCAACATCTTTGGTGGTCTGTTCATCATCATATGCCTCTCTCCATTTCCATTCTTTGATAACATGATGGGTCTTCCACACTGGCACACTCATGCCGAGTTATGGCCCTTGAAGTGGCAGATTATGCTTTGCAAAAGGTGAGCTTTAGAAGGTGGATGGAGGTTCCCAGGGAGAGAAGTGAATGGGAAGAGGCCCCCCCAATGAGGTGAGAGCACAGTGGGCGAACTGCTTTCTAACACAAATCAAGGCCCAACATCCAAACCCTAGCAATGAAAAACAAACAAACAAACAAAGCAAACAACATAGTTTCTGACAGAAGTCTGCCTGTGGCACCTTTGGAGAAGGACGAAGCTAAGCTCATGTTGGCACGGTGCTAGAGTAGGTTTGTGGTTGTGCTGATCAGACTGGCAACCCTGCAGGAGCTGTTTTGTGGAGGAATTTCAACTAGTGGAGAGCTGGAAGCTCCAAAAACTCCTGCTTGGTCTGTAATCTAGAAATGTCACCAGAGGCTCAGGATACTGGACAGATTAGAATAAACTCTGACCGCTGGTCAGTTCCTTCTTTAATCTCAACCCCTCCCCCACATCTCTCACTTTGCCTAAGGAACTTTAGAAATTTCTTTTATTTCTATTTTTCTGTTTTGAAGTGTCAAAGGGGCCACTTGTGAACTCTGTTGAATTCCTCACTACTCTTTCCATCCAAGCAAACACAAACAAGAACAACAAAAAACACAACCATAATATTCTTCCCTCTTTCTCTCCTAGATAAAAGTGCTGGCTTCTTCCAGCCCAAGGAGCTCAAGAAACTAAGACTTACAGAGGCAGTAGGCTCCCTCTTTGTCTTTACACTCTCCCTTGCAGTCCTGGATCCTTCTTTCTAGCTAATAGGGCAATTCTCCCTCAGCTTGTGGCTCCTTCTGGTTCTTATACAGCTAAGTTACTGGGTATAGTCTACATTCACTGGCTTC